AATGGAACTGATGAGCAAGAAAAGGATAAACTGAGAATCTTGGTAATTCTGGGATACTCGGTAAAATCTTTGACCCATTAAACCTTTTCCCATTCCTCTCTGATAATCGGGTTCTAATTCACTTCTGTATATTTTGGGCATAAATACATTTATTTGAAATTTGAATTTATGATGAGTGGCTCATTGACACCTATTTTCCCTATGAACATGCCTGATATTTCTTCACCTTACTTTTTGAACAAATCAAAGAAATATTTGTTGATCCAGTGATGAACAATTAAAACAGGGCTTCTCAGCCTCAGCACTATTGACATTTTGAAGCAGCTCATTCTTTATTATGGGAGGCTGTCCTGTGCCTTGTAGTATCCATGGCCTCTACCCACTAGATGCCAGTAGCACTCCCTCCCCACTGTGACACCCAGAAATGATCCCATTCATTACCAGATGTCCCCCTGGGGCAGAGAGGAGAGGACAAGATCTCCCTCATTGAGAGGCACTAGACTGAAAGAATGAAAGGATGAATAATCATCCAACTAGAGGTGGCAAAAGGGAGAGAAATAGAAATGAGTGCAAAGGGAGACAAAGGAAGTTCCTCTTACTTTCTACAGGGACAATAAATCTAGACCCTTGCATTGAGGCCCTAACAGAATGGACTGCACGCATATGATACAATAGATACACTGGCTGGCATCCTGTTAAAAGGCCACCTGAGGTACCTCAGGCCTAAGTAAAGATGTTCCTTATCATCATTCTTAGTGATGGCACAGCCTCTGAGGAACCTGGAAGTATTTTGAGCACTTTGCAACCACTTTCTTCAGAGACACAGACTTTCTAATTTCTTTTGGGGGAGGAGATGGCTTTATAAACTTAAATATTCTGTTTTACGGAAAGTTCACATGACATGAGAAAATAATACTTTACATCAGTGATCAGGAAAAGATAAGTCAACAGCAAAATGAACACTCACTATGAAGTTAATATTCACTTGGGTGTCACTGAGGGTGCCTGACCTTCACACACAGCACAGACCCGGGGACTCACCTTTGGCCCTTGGGTTCCTATGCCCCGGGGCCCCGAGGGGCCTGGAGGGCCTCTGACGCCGGGCTCTCCCTGAAAGGACACAATGAGTAAGTTACTGATTTTTTTAAAGCTTTATGGTGCATAATATTTCATATGAATTTTCATTTACAAAAATACTTTTTTAAATGCCCATATACAAAAATACTTTTTTAAGCTTGCATTTGTCTAAGGTATTAGTTGAGTCCTTTTCTTCCATATAACTTTCCTATACTTGACAAAGGGAGCGTGTCTCCATTTGTTTTCCCTTTTTATTGCTGTTGGTGATCTTCAAGCTCCCTGATATGAGTCCCTTTCAAAGCAATCCAGTCAATTAACATCTTGGCAACCTGAACGTAAGTATGCTTTTTCCAGAACTTTCTTTCTTGAATTTGGAAAGTAATTATCACTGTTGCGAGTCAAGGGAGAAAGAAGAGAGAATAAAAAGCAACCTTTGGGTTAGGGATTGGCTCCTGGTTCTCCTGCCCTGGAGCTGCTGTGACTACAGGGCAAGTTCCATAAAGGTTTTACAGATTAGCCAAATGTGCCAGTTTCATAACAGGCAACTATCACCAGGAAAGTGGTGGGCCTTAAGTAGGCTGTGTCAGCCCCCACACTCAGATCTATTTGAGATGCGAATGAGGGGAAGAAGGAAAGGATGCAATCTCTTCATTAGCCAGCTTCTATGTACCCAGCACCATGCTCTGCATGTTCATATAGGCTATTTGACATCACTGAGTATTCACACCTGGATCGCACTGATGACTAACTTCTCTGAACCTCAGCAAATTCATCAGAAATATAGAAAATCACCTATATTGTGTGTGGATGACAATGAAGTAAGGTAGTCTAGCATAGAATAGGTGCTTGGTAAATGTTAACACCCATCCCACCTGTTTTGTTAAAGAGGAAACTAAAATTATCCCAAAGCTGCACAGCTCTTGAGAGGCAGAGTTGGGAAATGTGGAGAAACGGGAACCCTCATGTGTTGCTGGTGCAGCCACTTCGGAAAACAGTTTGGCAGGTTCTTTAAAAGTTCAACATAAATTTACCATATGATCTAGTTATTTTCCTTCTAGGCATACACCCGAGGAAGATGAGCATGTATGTCCACACGAAGACTTACATACTAATGCTCTTAGCAGACCAATTCATAATAGCCAAAAACCAGAAGCAACGTAAATGTCCATCAACTGGTAAATGGACAGACAAAATGTGGTATATTCGGCAAGGAACAAATTATGGCTACATGCTACAATGAGGATGAACCTCAGAAATGTTGTTCTCAATGAAAAAAGCCAGACACATAAAACCACAGATTGTTTGCTTCCATGATATGGAATGTCTAGAAAAGGCAGATATATAGAGACAGGAAGTCAACCAGTGCCTGCCTATGGCCAAAAATAGGAACTAGGATAGGATTAACTGGAAATGGTCATAAGGGGGCTTACTGGAGAGAAGAAAATGTTCCCAAACTGATATATGATGATGGCTATGCAACTTGATAAATTTATTAAAAGAATCATTGAATTGTACACTTCAAATGGGCAAATTCAATATGTAAAATATGTCTCTTAAATCTCTTTCAATTAAAGGTTACTGATCTTTTGTTCTTCCCTAGTACTTGCTTTGTGCATGACATAAAGTTATAAAGAAAACCCAAAAAACAAGAACCAGAGCCAGGCTTTGAACCTAGGTCTCCCCAGCTCTTTGCCCTGGGTCCTGTTTTGTCCGTGTTCTATTAGGAGTTAAATAGCTTGTAGTTTTCAACAGCATGAAAATCATGGATTATAAGAAATGATGTAATTGCTTATCTAGAAAAACAGCCCATCCTTAATTTAATTGTACTTTCTATTTACAAACCCTAAAATGCTTCCAGATAAAAACAAGGAATGAGGAAATTTTTTAAACTTTATTTTATTACTGACAGTTCTTTACATCTCTATTTTCATGATTACAGATTTCCCTCTTGTTCGCAGAGGATAATTCTGTCTCTCTTCCACTTAGTACTTCTGAGACCACAGGTACTAATTACCTCTTTAGCATCTCTCTCCTGACTCCCAAGTTTCTCCCAGAGTAAATGATCACTCCTAACATCAAGAGCTCCAGGTACAGAACATGAATTTGTCCATTTCTGTTATCTCTCCTATCTTGAGTACCTCTGATGTGTATCTTTAAAGGAAGTATCCATAAATTCACCAGATGAAGGTCTCTGGCTGATTCACTTGCTACATTTTGACACTCTCAGGTAAATATAGTTAAATAGATTTTACCCAAAATTATTGTTTTATAAAAAATAATTGTCTTCTTTGCCGGTCACCCTTAATCCTCCCCATGCACACTGGCTCCCTCTCTCGCGTTTCTGTTCACCTCTGCCCTCCCCTCATGAGGTTAGGAAGCTCGTGGCCAGACACCTGATATGCTATGGGGAGGATGCACCCCACCTATGAAGTCTATGAAGTATTCCAGCTGAGAAAAACTGAACCTGTATCTGAGCGGGTCTCTCTGACTACCGGTTTACAACAAAGTACAGATGATGGAGAAACACATTAATACCACAAGGATACCATCTACAAAATCCTCATGGAAAAGAATGCATCCACAAAGAAAGTGCTAGGGAAAAACAAAGGATGGGTGACCTTTAATTAAAAGAGATTTAAGAGACATCTCAGTCAAATGCAACAAACCAACTGTAACAAACTTATAAGACAAACTGGGAAATTTGAACACTAGATATTCGATGATACTAAGGAATTATTATTAATATTTTTTAGGTTTGCTAATGGTATGCAGTTATTTTTTAAAAAGAGAGATAAATGCTAAAGCTTTGTATGTATGCTGGGATTTGTTTCATAAGAATGCAGAAGGGAGAAGGAGAAAAGAGAAGGCAACACAAATAAAACAAGATTGACCAGCTGTTGATAATTGCTGAAGTGTGATGAGTAAATACAAGCTCCTTTTACAAGTCTTTCTTCTCTGTATATGATTAATCATTTTCATAATGAAATGTTTGAATAATATTTTTTAAAATTCCATAAACAGTATCCAATAAAAATCTTATCATTGAGGGTAAGGAAAGGTTGCTATTAACCCTTAATGAGGAAAAGAGTACAGAATTTTAAAGATAAAAAGGTGGACAAAATGGAAGAGCACATGGGACATTTAGTAGTATCAGAACTTACATGAATTTCATGCATTCTTGCTGTGTTCCAAATGTTATGTAATTTTAAAAAATTAACAGTAGGGAGAGAAAGATTTTTTATGAACCAGTACTTCTGTAAAAAAGAACTTAAAAACTCTACTATTTAATGTGTGATTTTTTATCATGATGATTTTCATTAAAACCTCCTTCTCAATTAGCATTAATGATACCATAATGCTCACATACACACACCACAGAGGAGAAAGCAAGTGGGAAAACCAGTTGAATACGTTGTGAGTTTACTTTAGAGGAGCCTCGTCAACGTTTATTGCAGCTCTTCATTTCCTCTAGAGGAAAAGAGTACAGAATTTTAAAGATAAAAAGGTGGACAAAATGGAAGAGCACATGGGACATTTAGTAGTATCAGAACTTACATGAATTTCATGCATTCTTGCTGTGTTCCAAATGTTATGTAATTTTAAAAAATTAACAGTAGGGAGAGAAAGATTTTTTATGAACCAGTACTTCTGTAAAAAAGAACTTAAAACTCTACTATTTAATGTGTGATTTTTTATCATGATGATTTTCATTAAAACCTCCTTCTCAATTAGCATTAATGATACCATAATGCTCACATACACACACCACAGAGGAGAAAGCAAGTGGGAAAACCAGTTGAATACGTTGTGAGTTTACTTTAGAGGAGCCTCGTCAACGTTTATTGCAGCTCTTCATTTCCTCTCTTACTCAGCTTCCCCTAACCCTTACCATTTAGGCGTATCTGAAGGCTTAACAGTGACCCTGTGGACACTTTATTGCATTTCCTATCCTTGAACTTGGGCCAGTGAACTTTAAGGGTGTGATCCCATGTCCTCTGCGGGACCACAGTGTTTACCTTGAACAAGTTCTCCATCCTTATCCATGTAAGTGTTGACAGATGGCTTTGTTTTGTCTATCAGAATAATCTTTTGTAATCTTTTGACCTATGTAAATACAATCTGATGTATGCTTTTATGAGTCAGACTTTAAATCATGTATTAACATATTCTGCAGATGTTACAGTTGGTCTATAAAATGGTATTCGGGTTGTTCCTTGCTTATATATTGTACTTTTCAGTAGATGGAATATCAGGCACTTGCTGAGCTGTGTGAATCCACAGAGATGGTGTCTCTCTGCCGCAGTAAGGTCTTGAGAATGTGTCATGTCTTTTGTTCCATGGGCCATGTGCCTAGGCTAGGCCACACCACCAGGTGAATGCATACAAGAGGACTGTGGGCAGGACTCACTTTACCACTTGTTAGCACGGGCTCTGCCACAACGCAGCATCAGTGGTCCCTAAGAAGTGCGTTCACCATGATGTTTTCAGACATGCAGTTTTATTGTCAGGGGATAGAGTGGCATTCCCAAATAAAAGGAATTGCAATAGATACTTGCATAGCTGGACTTAGCTTCCTACGCAGGATCTGGGAGCTATGGAGCCTGCAGAGGGAGCCCTTGCATTAGGAGATAATGAACAGACTGAAAGCAAATTCTGGAATTGCCGTTTGTAACTATAGACATCAATGTCATAAGGTCATAGCCTAAGCCCTACCGCAACCTTCCCACCCCTACTCCCTCGAAGAAGAGTAACTATTTTGATTGCCTACAGCTTCCTTTTGGCCCATAAAAGGGTCTCTGTAGGGGTGATACTCCCCTCTTTTCCACAGGAAATGGCCAAATAGAACCATCTGCAATATTTATACATGTGAATTTAAATGATTCAGTGAAGTTTTTATCTAGACCATAACCTCGCAGAGTGGTTAATCATACCATACCCTTTGAATCATACATCTTAGTCTGGTCCTGGTAATCATTCACTGAACCTTTCACTTCTTAAAAGGAAGAAAAAGAAAGCAAACAGTGTCACATTCA